ACATGCTTGTTTTTTGGCTGTACAGTGCGCCAACCTGTATTTCCAACGGAAAGTGGAGGCCGTCTAAGACGGTTGGTGTTTTTCTCGCCCGAAAAGCTCAAACAAATGGATGCCTCAGGAATGAATTGCATTCAGCTGTGAAATTGCTGTTCTAGCCCCGAATACATCCCAAAAGCTTCAGGATGAGGAAGCTTTTGATCGAAGTGAGTAGACTTCTTGCACAAACCACAATGTGCACGTGTGACTTCTGAGCCAGATCAGTGTTGAGATGTTGCGAGTCAATGTCCAACCTGTCAGGCATGAAGCTTTGTCCTCGGATTGGGGAGGCCACAAATCAGCCTTTCCGAGAGACGAGACTGAATTTGTTCTTTCAAGCGTCAGGTCTGGACGGTTGCTGTTTCGGCTGGTTTAGGTCCTGTCTTGAGGAACAGTCAAGGAATTTGCGAAAGGGAAGCGGGAAGCAATTTGTTGAGACATGGACAAATCTTTGTTGTGAAGAAGCTACTAGTAGCAAAGGGCATCGCTACTAGGAGCGATCGGACGCTACTAGGAGCAAGGAGCAAAGGGCATCTTTTCGACGAAACGCGACAAAGCTATTAGGAACAAGAAGCTACTAGTAACAGGTGCATCGCTACTAGGAACAAGTGCCTTACTAGTAGTAACAAGAAGCTACAAAGATTGAGCAATTCCTTTCGATCGTCCCGATGTTGAACCGGCACTTCACTGGTCGGTACCATCACGTCACCTTTGACCCCCTTTGACTCTTTGGAATTTTGAGCCACAATGAAAGCGGACATTGCACGAAACTTCGTAATCTGTAAACGCTTTTTTCAAAGTTTTTAGAATGTTGAGTTGTTGCGTTCATGTTCCGGGATCTGGAAGGGGTGCCAGGCAGCAGCACGAGCGCGCGTTCGCCGTGCTAAGAGTTTGGAGGCAGCCGATACCTTGGAACCTGAGGAAAGACGGCGCCACAAGAGTCGTAATGAGCCGACGTAACAAGGGCATCGCTACTAGTAACAAGGCACTACTAGAAACAAGAAGCTACTAGGAGCAAAGGGCACTACTAGTAGTAGCTCCTCTCTCCTAGTAGCAAGGGCATTACTACTAGTAGCTAGAAGCTATGAGGTTTCCCTAAATATCTAGGAACCAAGTCATTAGCATGAGCTATTGCGCGTCCATGTCTAGTAGCTAACTTAGCCTAGTAGCTTACTCCCTGAATTAAGTAGGAGCGGGCAAAACCAAAAGTCTAAAGCTTCCACAAACAGATCCAAAGTAGCTACTAGTATCAATGGCATCGCTAGTAGTAACAAGAAGCTATTAGGGGCTCCTGGCATCGCTACTAGGAGCGATCGGACGCTACTAGGGGCTCCTGGCCTTACTACTAGTAACAAGGACGCTACTAGAAGCTACTAGATCCAAAGAAAAAACAGCCAAAGCCCCATGGAGCTCCGGCCTGGCTGTGTGTCTGTGCCGAGGCCAAACGATGTCAAAGTGAAGCAGAGGCTGAAGCGGCTGAAGCGACAAACACTGTGACGACATTGTGTGACAACAGGCATTGTGAGAACCCCCAGGCCGAAGCGCGAGCTGCTGCAAGAGCTGAAGCTGCAGCTGCCATTGCAGTCCTCCGCTGAGAGCGTCGTTTTGTGCGGATGTGAGAGGTGCATCGGGGCGGATTAATTGCCCAAAACGATCTTAGCTTTCCACTTAGCCCGAACAGTTTTGTGTAGTTCTGGCAGAAAGGAGGTAGGGCTGTAGTGGCGGATTTCCATCCATCAATCTTAAAGGTCCATTGTTCAATTTCCTCGGGCTTTGTTTGTGGCCCATCTGAACCTGAGAGACCACAACCTCGATCTTCATTTCTTCACTGTCCTGGTGCCATTTTGTTCGCTGTAAGGCGCATCGAAAACGTGCTGCACGACGGGCCGCGTCTGAAAAGAGGGCACGGCGCTGTGCAATGAGACAGGAGATTTAAGAGATGTTGCAATGAACGAGACAAATGCGCTGATTTCGGTTCGGTCAATTTGGTCACACCCTGCAATGTAGAAAAATGCAACATGGGTAAGCATAATCTCCGGCGGGGCCGGTCAATGGCTTCAAAAGGTCAAAAGCTCATTTGTAATGCACTAGTTACTAGCAGCTTCTGGCTACTAGTAGCAATGGCCTCCAACCTAATAGCGATGGCCTCCAACCTAATTACAGTATGTGAATTCTTCAAGTGGTGAACCAGCGTAGCAAGCCAAGTGTTAAGTTAGCTAAGTTCTTCTACGCCTTGAGTTGCGAATTAGCTACTGACAGAGGGTGTCGGAAGGGACGTACAGTACACTAGAGAATGTTGGGCTAGGCAAAAAGTTGCCCGCCCACACCAAGAGTTTTGTGGTGAAAGGCGAGCCCAGCTTCTCAGATGGCAAGCCACCTTCTCGTCGTAGGGAAAGACGCAACTGCAAATCCGACGCTCGTTTTTCTTGTTTTCTTCTTTTATGTGTTTATATATTTTTCTGTTTGGTTTTTCTTGTTGGGTTCAATCGAAATGCTTTAATTGTAGGAAGAGGAGCTTCACTCCTTGGCTGCTATGCGGCGCGAAGAGCAGCGGTGCATGGGCCTTCGGTGTGCCGTTTGTTGCGAAACAAAAAGAGAGTAGTAACAAGTGCCACGCTAGTAGTAACAAGAAGCTATTAGTAACAAGTGCATCGCTAGTAGTAACAGGTGCCTATTACTAGTAGTAACAATGTTTGCTATTAGAAACAATAAGCTAATAGCTTCTAGCTACTAGTAAGAATGCTCCTAGTAGCGATGCCAGGAGCCCCTAGCGGCCTTGCTTCTAGTAGTAGGGCCAGGAGCCCCTAGTAGCTTCTTGTTCCTAGTAGCTTCTAGCTATACTACTAGTAATGGCCTTGTTACTAGTAGCGATGGCCTCCAACCTATTAGCTTCTTGTTACTAGTAGCGATGCCCTTGTTCCGCATTTTGCAAAATTCCAACCATTGGGATAGACTTCACTGTTAAGTCGCAGGTATGCGAAAAGCGCGAACCGAAGAGTGGAGAGCGAGCGCATACGTCGAGAGGACGTAGAATGTAGCAATGTAGCATGACAAATGTGTTGGATTGGGGCTGCCCATGCGATGTTTTCTGTTTTAACAGTCTCGAAGATACTCGAAGCCATTCGGATTCAGGACCTTACGAGAAAGGTTTTGGCTTCGCTCCATGTGCGGAGTCCAATGGAGTTCAATTCGAGAACGCACTTGTTGCACCATCCATTTCACGTTTCCATTTCTTTCTCCACACCAGCTTGTGGGCATTTGTCTGGAATTTAGATGAATGAAGGTGGCCTTCAATCTAATAGCATCCTTGCTCCTAGTAGCGATGCCCTTTGTTACTAGTAGCTTCTTGCTCCTAGTAGTAAGGCCAGGAGCCCCTAGTAGCGTCCTTGCTCCTAGTAGCGATGGCCTCGTCGTGCAATTTTTCATTTTTCAACCGAACTTGACACATGCGTTTCCGTGATCGTCCTCTTCCATAGGGGCTCCTGGCCGTACTACTAGTAGCAAGAAGCTAGTAGTAACAAGAAGCTTGTAGTTTCCGTGGTCAGGCAGAGCAAGCTGCTCGTCGGGAGGCCACAGACAGGTTGAATGAATCGACGAACCTTTTGGATTGACTGCAGGCAGAACTTCGGAAGGGCCAGGAGCTGCAACAAAGATGTCAGGAGCAAGCGGAGTGCAAGCAAGCCCTTAACATTGCGCTTGAACGCTTTTGCAAGCAAGATTCATGAGCAAAACCCATTTCCCTTAACATTTGCTTGATCAGAATGCATCAAGCAAGGATGCGGACTTTGCGCATTGCAAAGCACTCGTTGAAAGCCGAAGAAGGAGGACCTACGCTTTTCGTTTCTTTTTTGAGGGGGGTAGGCCGCTAGCAGAGGTAGGAAGTAGCTAGTAGGGAGGGGTCGCTAGTAGCTACACGTAAGATACTAGTAACTGGACGCAGGATAGCGCTCGCACTAATGATTTGGTTCCTAGATTTTTAGGGAAACTTAAGGTTGGAGGCCATCGCTATTAATTAGGTGGGAGGCCATCGCTAGTAGGTTGGAGGCCATTTTGGAGTCCATTACTACTAGTAGGAAGAAGCTACTAGGTTGGAGGCCATCGCTAGTAGGTTGGAGGCTATTACTACTAGTAGGAAGAAGCTACTAGGAACAAAGGCTTCTATTTCTTGATTGTAGAATCATTGAGCCTCGAGCCTCGTTTCATACGTCGATCTGCAATCAGGCATGGTTCAACACCGCCTAGAAACTCCAGCCTGAGGCTAAGCTTTGCTTGTGGCTTTGAGGCACATCATGCACTTTCAACAGCTTAGCTTAGCTGAATTATCTACTTCTCAGCCGGTGGCGGCACTGGTGGCCTGTGACCTGCTGGCCGGAATACAACAATTGTATATTATGCTTAGCTGACAGCTTCATCGCAGGAAACTGTTTCGTATTGTGAGAGGACAGGAGGATGTGAAAGTCTGTGAGTCTTTGTCATTCAGTTTTGCCACTTCGCCTCCAAGGCTTTCACTTGCCTCCGATCGACAAAAGAGGTGGTTTCGAGTGTTGAATGGACCTTCAATGGAACAGAGCTCTCAGTGAGGCCTGGTACCAGAAGAACTTGCTTGAGTCGATCCAACGCGGGCTCAAAGACAATGGATGCTACAAAAGCAACGAGGACGTGTTCAAAGCAACAATTTCTGAAAGACATCTTTTCAAAGACATGACCTCGCCACTGGGGTTAAGATAGCCACACAAGGCCTGGTTGAACCAAGAGTGGCTGACGTTTGGTCTTTTGCAGTGCAAGAGTTTCACAAATCACACTTTGTCCTAAATGCGGCTGCGGTCAAAAGGAAAAGAACATGACATTTGCTGGGCACCATGGCATCACACAAGGCAATTCCAAATGTATAGTTTCCGATTGGTTACTTGAACAGTCAACATATCCACCTCATCAAGACAGGTTGAATATGTGCCTTGATGTCCAGCCATGATTTTGGCTCAGACCTTAAACTTGGAGTTCAACCGTACTCTGCTCCGCAGAGACTCTGCAGCATTTTTTATCAATGCTGTGGCCTTTGGCGCCTTGTCCGCACGAGTCCTATCCCAACAAGGTCCCAGGAAGCAGGCTCAAGCAGGCTCAAGCAGGCTCAACGGTAAGATCATGTTTCTCTCAGGCAATCTTCTATTTGAGCGTTTTTGCGTTCGGCGACAACTGCGTTGAGGCGCGGGAAGGCTTAAGAGTTTGACGTGCAGTTCCATTTGGGATCATTTGAGTACCCTTTGGGATCATCGAGGGGCAAAAGGACAAATCGTGTCAAGTTTTGCTCCTCGCCTTCATGTTTGCCCCCATGTTAACGTTCAGTGCAAATGGTTCAGGAATTCAAAGCAGAGTCGCGCAGCTTACTGCAGCGGAATCGACCGAAGACCAAGCTGGACCAGCTCATGGAGACCATGAAGATGATGAAGGACGAGGTCGCCGGAGTTCGAAACGAAACATGAGTCGAACCAAGCCTCCGGCCTCCAACCGGACAAAGCGATGAAACATGGGACAAAAGATATATGGTACGTGAATCATGGTACATGACGGTATCATAACTCTGATCCCAGCTAAAAGCAATGTGGTACAAGCACAGGCGTGATGCAAAATATAGGACCAAAGCCCTCAAAGTATTCTGGTAGCGTTTGGAAAGAACAGACCGTTCAAGAATTTCCAAGAAGGTCTCAAGAGTGTATCGAGCGAAAATGAGCGGAGGCTATCGCTACTAGGTTGGAGGCCATCGCTATTACAAACAAAGAAGAAAAGAAAAGGAATAAAGGTCTATATAGTTTGCTATTAGGTTGGAGGCCATCGCTACTCGCTGCAGTCGGCAGTCTGAAGAAACTCAGGTCGACAAGATCAAGGAGGAGATGGATCAAACCAAGGGGCTGGGCCCAGTCTCGCCCAATCAGACCGCCTTGTTCCAAGGGTGCTCTGCCAAGAAGGGGGAGACATCCTCAGCGAAGTTTCAATTCGGTCATTCTCCAGATGGTCCGGTCTTGGCCACGCTGAATGTCAGCCAAGCTTCATGCACAGCTAACGAAGTGCCTCTGAAGCATTTCTCACGCAGTTCCTACAATGAGGTTTGTTGTCCAGAAGGAAGTGTGCAATGTGCTGGATGTGCACAGTATGGTGCAACGACGTGTAGCACTTGCGCTGGTGGCTTCATGCAACGTGGAGGCAAATGCACTGCCTGTGCAGACACAGTTGGCTGGGTGAATCGTGCAGGACTGACTTGTGCACAGTAGTAGTAACAAGAAGCTACTAGTAACAAGTGCCACGCTAGTAGTAACAGGTGCCACGCTAGTAGTAACAAGAAGCATCGTGTAGGACTGACTTGTGCACAGCTCACTTCCTCTGATTGCAACAGCGTGAAGGTGAAAGGCTCGGGCCGGGGAAGTTTCGCCAGTCGACTGGTTACTTGAAATGAAAAAAAGAAAGGAATAAAGGGCATCGCTATTAGGAGCAAGAAGCTCTTAGTAGCTCCCAGCATTACCACTAGTAACAAGAAGCTACTAGGAGCAAAGGGCATTTCTACTACGTAGGAGCAAGAAGCTACTAGGGGCTCCTGGCCTTGCTACTAGGAGCAAGGACGCTGCTAGGAACTTCGTGCAATGTTTGAGCCTTTGAGGTCTAAGCAGCAATGAGGCTTGTTGCAAATGCAACGGTGGCACCGTCACGGCAACGCCTTTTGCTTACGACCTGAAGCACTGGGCCTTGGGTGAACAGGTTTCCATGAAGCCAAGACCCCGCACAGCTGAAAGCTATTCATTGAAACTTGTCTTAGGAAAGGTAAAGGAACAGCTTCTTGTGAATAGAAAGGTATCGTCGGTATCGTTGGTTGCAGTTGAGTGGCCAGATGTTCCTTAATATTACACTGCATGGCCACACTTCACTTGCTCCACTGTGCGATTGAGATTATTCTATTGCAAAGTGCAGAAATCTGTTGCTAGTAGAATCGATGCACCTTGTTACTAGTAGCGAACCTTGTTACTAGCACTTGTTCCTAGTAGCGATGCACTTGCTACTAGTAGCGTCCTTGTGAACTCGGAAATGTGAGGAATGAGGGTTGTGAGCTCGCGGAGTACAACTTGACGATGGATGGATCCACCGGCGAGATCACGTCGGTTGGCAGTGCTGCAGAGCCCTTCAGCGTGGAGTGCACTGTCACCGCACATCAAGCTCATGGTGTGACCTTTGACGCAGTTGTCAAGGTGCGACAAAAGTCGAAAGAAATGCATCGAACATAGACAAAGACAAGTTAAACAACGCAATTCCATAGAATACAAAGTACCCTTCCAAAGAGGCGCTTGTTTTCGTTTTCTCAAATTGCAAGATGTCCAGCTTCAAAGATTCGAGCTAAGGTGTCAATGGATTGGTTTGCTTACGGTGTCCCTTTGCTCTTATTCCAGACATCGCCCTCTGTCTTCGTTGCCTCCAAAGCTGCAGGCAGTTGGAAGGACTTCGCCGTGAAATGCGCACCCCAAACAGGCTGGCTTTCCGTGGATGCATCCCTAGGCACCTTGACAGGTGGTCCTAGTCAAGCTTGGAAGGGGGGTGTGAGCGATGGCAGCATGGCCGGACAGAAGGGTGGCATTTGCCGGGTTTCGGCGTTGCACCAAGCAGCAAGTGCAAGCAAATGGGAAAGGCGAGAAGCCAAAGTTGTTGCCATTTGGCCACGGCCTCGGACCACAACTAGCAATAAGGTGCTGTGCTACTAGTAGCTTCTTGTTTCTAGTAGTGATGCACCTTGTCACTAGTCACTAGTAGCTTCTTGTTACTAGTAATAATGCACTTGTTCCTAGTAGCGATGCACTTGCTACTAGTACTGTAGTGATGCCGAGGCCACAGCCTTGGACGACATTGAATTATGGGACAAGCAGTGTGTCAGCAACACTTGGGGATCAGTTGCCAGTCCTGAAGCTCATCCCTCAGTCTGATGCGCTCTTGAAGCCTTCGGATTTCTTCGTGGCTTGTGACACAACACCGAGCAACTTGGGGTGGTCCTTTGATTCTTTGCTGGGGACTGGCCTGCTTGAAGGCCAGAATGCAATGCGTCCTTTCTAATTTCTAATCATTTCTTTAAATACACCCATGTTCAGGACTCATAGGATGAGTCGTTGAACAAAGGTAGACACAAGAAAGACTGAAACAAGCAGAGTAGATGTCGAGTCAAGCCATCGCTGAAGGCTACTCCGTGTTGGAAGTTGCTGAAGATGGTAGCATCTCAATTTCGGTCAGCCGGGAGATGTCCGCGATTTTTGATACCATGGCCAGTAGCGGTGCGACGCGCAAGCAAGTGACCTTAAACTGTGCGGTGTGGGGGATGTTTCCAGATGATTCCTTGACACCGATCAAGGCAGGTGGTTGAAAAGTGCGCGAGACGAAGTATCGGCAAAGGTCGTGAGTTCAATGTACCTTCGTTTTGGCCCAGTTTTGCGGATGCATTTAAGACAAATAGTTGTTGTGTTTCTTCTTTTTCCCGAATGCGTAGCGAAGGGTTCCCGTTTATAGTTGGGGGTGTGGGGGTTGGAGCTGTGTTTGCATGGCTTGTGTCGTCTCGTCGTTTGTCGTCGTCTCTCGTCGTCTGTCGTCGTCTCTCGTCGTTTGTCGTCGTCGTCGCGTCTCAAATTTGCTGCCATTGGGGGAAGCTTTTGCAAGTGACTTTTCATGGACGTGTCACGTGTCAGTTTGCGCCGCTATTCCATTGTGATTTGCGACAAGTCTCAGCTGAAATGGCGATTTTGGTGGATGGGAGTGTGCTCAGAACGGGTCGAAATCATTCCAAACGTGTGGTGCGGTGCAAATTTTGTTGAAGCTCACATGAGATGATATTGTCACTTTTCGTGGCAGGCGCAGGACTTTGTGCGGGTTTTGAGGCGTGGAAGTGCGATTTTCGTGGCAGGCGCAGGGAATCGTGAGGTTGCGAGGTGTGACGGAGGTGACGTTCCGTGGCAGGCGCAGTACTTTGTGCGCGTTAGACGTGTGGATGCGGAAAGATTCGTGGCAGGCGCAGGGAATTGTGAGGTTGTGAGTTGTGGTAGAGGTGAATGTCGCTGTCACATTGGGATTGGCGTGTGAGCGGATGTTGTTTGGAAGGGCTGGAATCGCGAAACTGCTTGGCAGGGCTGCGTGATGTGTGTGCTCCGATGGGTGTTTCCGCTTGACTTTTGGAGGAAGTCTCGATCGAAACGCTCGTTTTGCAGACTTTGACGTGTGAGTTTTTGAGGAAGTCTCGTACGAAACGCTCGTTTTGCAGACTTTGACGTGTGAGTTTTTGAGGAAGTCTCGTACGAAACGCTCGTTTTGGAGACTTGACGCGCAACCCTCTGCGGAGATCGTGCGTGTCGAGTGAGCGAAATGTAGGCGAGAGCGCGATTTGTCCCATGCGCGCGCAACCCTCTGCGGAGATCGTGCGTGT